TACCTTATCTTTCCGCAAACAGTCTTGTAAAATCTGTATTGATCTTCTTTATCAATATATATTTTAAATTTGAAAATACTGTGTTTGTATTTATTCCCCCCCCCCATTCTACAAACTGTTTCTATTCTTGTAGACCCTTTCGGGACCAACGGCTTCAATGGTTGATATAAGCTTCAAAGGTTACAAGAGATTCAAGGGATTGCAATAATTACGAGGGTTAAGAAAAACAATAACAAAAACTATCTATATGTACCCAAAGGGTATTTTACAAAGAAAGCTTGAATTCAACATAAAACTTGAACTTAACACATGTATGGAGTTACTCTTCTGTCTACAAGTGTGCTTACCTACTTTGTGAAAGACAATTGTTCATATGCGGCCAAAAGTCTACATATCTGAAGACAAAGGACAAGTTCTTCACTTGAATTTTGTCACATGCTTTGTACCCTCTGACTTGCATCAAATGCAATGGGTATAAATAAACGAGAAGATTCTCTTCTCAACAAGCACTCACAAGCACAATCTTAATCAAGCACTTTCTCTCTTTCTCTCTTCTTATCTTCTATGCAACTTGTGTGCTTCTAAGATTGTTTAGTTAAGTTCTTAATCTTATCTTCTTTCGCAACAATTTGTAAATTCTGTATTGATCTTCATTTATCAATAAACAAATTTAAAAAGTAAAAATTATGTGTTTGTATTCATCCCCCCACCCCTTCTATAATTGTTATTTTTAAACTCTTATAAATCCGTTTGAGACCAACATTTAAGATCCTTATTTCGAATGAAAGTTGCCACGTCTTGAATAATTGGCATGAATAAGGATCTAATAGTTGTCATGATTATATGTTGCTATGAATAAGGATAAAAAATTGATCACGTCCACTTATCTCGGGATTTTAATAGTGGCTATAAATAAAGATCAATATTTTTTCTTTCTATTTTTTCCCTTTCCGTGCTATTTTATTTATGAAGTGTATTAACTTCTTTTGTTAATATAAATAGGCTCCTTTCATCAAAACCGTTGATCTATAAAATCGAAGTTGCAGATGATTTGTACGGTTTATACAAATGATTTAGTTTGCAAATAAAATTGCTTTTATATAAAAATTGATAAAAAAATCGTGTGAAAATAAGAGTTAAGATAACAAGTGTGATAAAAGATTTGGACCACTAATCTCAAACCAAACCATGAATTGTTTTTTAAAAAAGAATTAATCATATATTTCTCATTAATATTGATCTAGTAGAACTCTTTAATTATGATTGATTTATGTAGATTTATTTTCACCCCTGTCATTATAGTTTTCATTTTCACAAGAACCAACCTTATATATACATACACATATTATAGTAACGATGATTATTTCATTTCGTTTTCTCTTATCACGTACCATATGTTTACTTTAGGGGTGAAAGCAAAGCACAAAGTTTCTCTCTCTCTCTCACACAAAACACATATAATATGTGAGAGAGAAAATGGTTGTCTTTTGAAGCGTCATGAAGTGGCGGGTAGTAGTGCACAAGTTGGTTGAGCAGACCTTTGACCATCACAACCCTCTTCATTCAATTTCATCTCATCTACCACCCATCAACCCTAATTCAATTCATATTTCATTAATTATATCCGCATATTTCAAACTCGATCGATTTTCTATTTTCCTTCATATTTTAACCCCACCATTCCTCATTTTCCAATATTCAAGTTCACCCCCATCATCTACCGTCCTCCACAGTCCACACAAGATTCATACATATACATACGTGCATCTATATGTATAGGTTCGAATTTCAAACAACCCACCTCAGATCTTCCTATTTCTTTGACCTCAGCACCAACAAATTCTTCTGATATATGTTCTAATTCCAGGAAACTGACATACTCTCTTTTTGCATACTTGTAACTTTCTCTCTCTTCTTTGCTGGCATGAGCTGGAACTCAACTGTCTCTATGCTCTATTCAATGGCTATTGCAGTTTTTGTTATTTCTAGCCTAATGGACGATACCCATGAAGCCTTTTAGGTGAGAAATTTCGCTTTCTCTGTCCAATTTTGATCTTTTTAACCAAAATGAGGAGCCCCCATTAATGTTCGTACCTTATTTGCTCAATCTCTGGTCTTAATTTTGGTGGGGCTTTCCTCGATTAGCTGTAGTTTTGACTTTTTTAGCCATAATGAAGGGCATTGATTTATGTTTTAAGCTGGTCATCTCAATCTCTAATCCTGATTATGGAGGGTTTTTCTTCAATCTGCTGTAATTTTGAAGTTTCTAGCCAAAATGAAGAGCACCTGTTCTTGTCTATAGCTGATTTTTGCAATCTCTGGCTTTAATTTTGGTACTTCTGTGTTTGTATTACATAGTCAACCCATAGATCGCAAATTTCCTTTGTTAAGTCCTCGAGATTGTGAAAAGAAGAAGAAAAAATCAGCTTAATTTCCTTTATATTGGTACATGATCATGGGAGCTTGGATATTGTTCCGTCTCATGGTGATTTGTTGGTTCTTTTTGTCATTACCTCAAACATGCCTATCAAGTATTCAAAAAATTGGCAAAGTGAACCCCGGGTTCAAAGGGTCCCAAATGCAATTCATCGACAACGGGGGCTTGTTCCTTTTATCGAACAACAGTGATTTCGGATTTGGTTTCAAGGCCAACACCGATATCACTTCATTCACTGTTGTTATCGTTCACATTTCCAGTTCAAGGATCATTTGGTCTGCAAATAGAGGCTCTCCAGTTGCCAATTCTGATAGCTTTGTGTTTGATGATGTTGGCAATGCTTATATTCAAAGCAATGGGAAAGTTATTTGGTCAACAAGCACCGCCGGAAAAGGGGTTTCCGCCATGGAATTACTTGATTCCGGCAACTTGGTTCTGGTTGGTGTTGATGGTGTTATTGTTTGGCAAAGTTTTAGCCATCCAACAAACACCCTTATGCCAAATCAAGATTTCAGTGCAGGGTTGAGGCTTGTAAGCGATCCCAAAAACAATTTGACGTTTTCTTTAGAAATCAAATCTGGAGACTTGATTTTATCCGCCGGATTCCGAAACCCTCAACCGTATTGGGCTATGGGGAAGGACAAAAGGAGGATCATCAACAAAGATGGTGGAAATCTCAACTCTGCAACCATTGATGGCAATTCATGGAGGTTTTTTGATCAAAACAAAGTCTTTCTATGGCAATTTGTGTTTGCAGATGGTGTTGATGGTAACACCACCTGGGCTGCAGTTTTAGAAGAAGATGGCTTCATTAGATTCTATAATCTCCCAGTGAAAACCTCCGGAAATCTAGTAATACCCGATGATCAATGTGGTACGCCTCAATCTTGTTCGCCTTATCTCGTTTGTCACGATGGAAAAACATGTCAATGCCCATCTGGACTCAATGAAATGAACTGCAAACCGAGCGTTGTTTCTTGTAGGACGGTGAAAGAGCAAGTGACTCTTGTGAATGCCGGTGAGAATCTGAGCTATTCGGCTCTTGGGTACGTCCCATCCTCTTTGAAAACCACTTTAGATGGCTGCAAATCCGCCTGTTTAGGTAACTGTTCTTGCCAGGTTATGTTCTTTGATAACAAATCTGGGAATTGTTATCTGTTTGATCAGATTGGAAGCTTTGTAGACGCTAAAAATGGCGTCAGTTTCGAATCATACGTCAGGATTTCGCATTCTTCAGGTGGAAAAGGAAATAAACAGGTCACAGGAATCGTGATCGCAATCGTTATCGCTACAATGCTTGTCATTCTTAGCCTTGTGTTCATTGGGGTTCGTTGGTTCAAGAAAAAGAACAATGATTCGGAAGAACGGCACGATGAAACATCAGAGGAGGATAATTTCTTAGAGAGTCTATCCGGGATGCCAGTTCGTTTTAATTACATAGATCTTCAACAAGCTACGGAAAACTTCAATAAGAAGCTCGGCCAAGGAGGGTTCGGGTCGGTTTACGAAGGGGTGTTAAAAGATGGGACCCAAATAGCAGTTAAGCAGTTAGAAGGGATCGGTCAAGGGAAGAAAGAGTTTCGAGCAGAAGTGAGCATCATCGGCGGGATCCACCACCACCATTTGGTTCGGCTTAAAGGGTTTTGTGCAGAAGGTGCGCACCGGCTCCTCGTTTACGAGTACATGGCAAATGGCTCGTTGGACCGGTGGATTTTCAAGAAAAAGAAAACCGAGTTCTTGTTGGACTGGGATACGAGATATAACATTGCGGTCGGTACCGCAAAAGGACTTGCGTACCTTCACGAAGACTGTGACGTGAAGATCGTTCATTGCGATATCAAGCCGGAAAACGTGCTACTTGACAGGAATTTCCGAGCAAAAGTTTCGGATTTCGGTTTGGCAAAGCTGATGACAAGAGAACAAAGCCATGTTTTCACAACTTTGAGGGGGACAAGAGGGTACTTAGCACCCGAATGGATCACGAACTACGCGATATCCGAAAAAAGCGACGTTTACAGCTACGGTATGGTGCTTCTTGAGATAATTGGTGGACGGAAAAACTATGATTCCTCGATGATCTCCGAGAAATCTCATTTTCCATCTTACGCATTTAAGATGATGGAAGAAGGCAAGATTCAAGAAATCATGGACCAACAAATGAAAATAGATGAGAGTGATGAACGGGTAACCGTTGCAATACAGGTGGCTCTTTGGTGCATACAAGACGATATGAACCTACGGCCTCCGATGACGAAAGTGGTTCAAATGCTCGAGGGTTTATGCCCAGTGCCTGCACCACCAATGGCATCACAAACGGGTTCTCGGCTCTATTCAGGCTTGTTCAAGTCGATTAGTGAAGGCGGCACTTCCTCAGGGCCATCCGACTGTAACAGCGATGCGTATTTATCTGCTGTTCGTCTCTCGGGACCCCGATAGCATATGTATATATCCGACCGTATTTGTGAATTTTTGTAATATTATTAGTAACAAGTTAAATATTGAAATAAACAATTTTCATGTTGAGTGAAGATCATCATCAACTCCAATTTTCATCAAGAGTATAACCTCGTGTTATTGAAACCTTTTTTGGGATTAGATCAGATGGAAAAATGGCACATATTGTTGCAACATTTTAGAAGGGAAAAAGTAAATGGAAGGGAACGTTAAATTTGTAAAAATACTAAAATATCTATCAATTTAATCTTGAGAGAAATATGTAAAAAAAATAACTAAACTATGAATTTGGTTATTGTTTGTCGAAGATAACATTTTTTATTTTTGTAATTTTAAAACTAAAATTCCTCCAAGTCATATGTAAAAATGTCGGCATTTGATCCTTCATCCTAGCGGTCGTTAAGAATCCCCTTAGATAATAGGCATTTTTGTTTTTCTTTTACCTAATAAAAAATTACATGGACCAAAAGTATAGTTTATTTTTATTTTACCTTTTTATGTTTTATTTTGTCTTACTTAAAAATATTTTAACAATATATATATATATAGAGAGAGAGAGAGAGCGCGTGCGCACACATTTAGTTCAAATGTTAACACAAACTATAGTGTTAACTTTATAAACTTTTTCAACCAATCACAATCCATCTTATTAGTAGGTTCTTCTCTATCTTAGAATTTGATGACAAGAGTGTATGAGTAATTTTCTTTTTTATGAAACTCCTATATCATTAATTGGGAGTTAGAAGATCATAAAATCCAATGATTTATGCATTTTTAATATTGATCTTCTTATTTTTTTTTTAATATTGATCTTCCATCTTTAATGTTTATGAATTTGTGATTGGTGGAGGAGACCCGAGAGTAAAGTTTTTGGTATCGTTCAAACAATTATGGATAAACATAAAAACTAGGTATGTACAAATTACCAACTATTTAAAAACAATTGAATAGTGTTCAGAAATAAACACATGAACATTGTTCATAAACAGAATTTGATGTTTGTTCATAGATGAACCATGTATCATTCCAAATATATTTCATATACAAAAGATACTACATAGTGTATGTGTTTACTAAAATAAAACATGGATGTTACAAAAATCTTTACGACTTTTTTTCCATATACACCATTGTTCACACATGAACAATTCTCATAAATATTGAGTACTTGCTCACATGCGAACCATTAACAAAAAAACTGTAAAAGAATCAGGTGTCGAGAATCTTGATGTTGGTTTTGATTCGATGACGAGATTAATTCCCATATAGGTACATTGTTATTAATGGGCAGTTATAAAACATCTCATTGTCATTAATGGGCAGTTAAAAACATCTCATTGTCATTAATGGACAACTAAATTTTTTTCCCAAAATACCTTTTGTAAACATTGTTCACTTATGTTATCTTGTTTATGTGTGCAATTATTTACACTTTATGTCATTATTGATCTTAGCCACAAATTTCAAAGATCAATTATCAAGATTGGTTAATAAAGTTAACACAATAATTTGGATTAACAAATAAAGTTGCCCACACATATATATATATATATATATATATATATATGGGTCTAATCAAATGAGAACTAATTAGTTTGTGGTAACCGTGAGATCCAATCTCAATCACAAATTAATAGGTAAATTAAGAAATTTATAATTTTGGTAATTTTGAATTAAAAATTTTAAGCAAGGACATTTTAGGTATTTTAAAACTCCCATCTCTCCTCTCTTCTCTCTCCGTCCTCCGACCACAGTCCTCCGGTGATACTACAATGGTATCACAATGCATCATATATGTGTTGGGTATCACACTGAGGTCGTTTGTGTGGTCGATCGGAAATGTAACACAGTGGTATCACAATGCATCTTATATATGTTTGGGTATCACACTGTGTCTTTTGTTTAACATAATCAATATTTTTAGGTATCACCAGAGGACGGTGGCCAGGTGACGGAGAAAGAAGAGAGGAGAGAGGAGAAAAAATACATAAAATGTTTTTGCATTAAAATTTTAATTCAAAATTACCAAAATTATAAATTTCTTAATTTATCTATTGATTTGTGGTTGACATTGGATATCACGGTTACCACAAAACTAGTCGGTTCTTCCTTGAATGGGCCCATATATATATATATATATATATATATATATATATATATACTAGTTTTCTACCTGCTGCAATGCAACAAAATATAAAACTTTCTTATATATAAAAAATTAATTAATAATTTATAAAATGTTTTACCCTTTAAATTATGGCGTTGTTTGCAAATAAAATGATATTTTGATAACTAAATAAGAAATACGAAGTTTGAAATTTGTATAAATCATCCATCAAATGAGTTTTTTTTTTTAAGAAATAGTTCATCTTTTGTGTGTCCCACAATATAATCAATCTTAATATATCATCATGAATCTATGGCAAGAACACTTAGAACGTCAAGAACATCTATGAAGGTCTAGAAAGGAAAAGTCAAATAGTTAACTCTGATTATATTCCTCTCAATATACGTATGTTTACAATTAAGCTTTTACCCTTCTATTCACTTGAAGACAAAACTATTTATAGGTCAAACAAAGTAAGCTCTAGTCGAAGTCAGCAATACTCACAAGTCAAAGCACTCTAAAATACAATTATAAAACCTTTCAAGACGAATACAATTTAACACTAAAATTCAATCCTAACATTCTTCTCCTTTGTATTCAGGCTTGAAAGAATTCGCACGCTTTGAATCTTTTTTGAACTATGACACTTTAAGCACATTATGACTTCTTGAAATCTTCAAAAAATAATCTTCTAACATTCTCTGCTTTATGATCTTTAGATAATCTTTTGTTGAGAAAATCTTCCAACATTCTCCCCCTCGAATGTAGAACAAAACGATCTTCTCTTTTCACAATGAAGAACACTAACAGCAATAACCTTCAGAAATAATCTTCAAGATATGATTTTCAAAGAATTTCTTCAGATAAACATTCACTAACATTCTCCGCATCAAAGAATTTTTTCAGATAAAAAAAAATCACTAACAATCTCCCCATAATTAACATTCTCCTTATTGAGAAATCTCTATCAGTAAACTCTTATAAAGATAATCTTCACATTAAATTTCTCTTCAAACAATATAGCATAAGAATAATCTTCAGTCATTGCATTCACACTTCTTTGAGACTTTTGTTGATTCCCGATCTTTATATCATACTCCCCCTTGATCTTTATATCCTATATCCCTTTATATCATTCAGAATTGATTATTTCATTCATTATATCATACTCCCCCTTATGATGAAATGAGAAGCATTTGCATCATACACTAGGATGAATGAAATTTTTAGTGAATACCGTCAATTCATAAAATCGTAAGCATATCTTTTTAAATTCACTTGTATAATCTTTTTAGATTAAAAGGATGGGAAAATAACTACCAATTTCAACTTATGAAGTTGTTTTCAATCTTAAATTTTTTTTACCTGTGAATATAACATATATATTAAGTACAACGGATGTACTTCATATATGAGACTTTTTGAGGTTCATCTCACTAGGTCTTCCATTCAATCATTGATATCTTATAAAAACTATATCTATGAATGTTTCGGCAAAATAACATATAAATTTCAAAATCTGTGTAGTGTGGAAAAATAAAGCAACATTTGCTTATGTTTAGGCTCAAAAAGATAAACCGTGTGGACTACACAATTTGTTAGGACTGAAAGTCAGTGTAATATTGTATTCGTCTTGAAAGTTTATTTTGTCTATAATTGTATAAAAGTCATCGTGTTTGACTTTTGTTATAGAAGTTTGACTTTGACCTTGTTTAGTTGTTTGACTCTATAAATAGAGTGTTTGTCTTGTAATCTTGATAAGAGCTCAATTGTAAAACTCATTTTACTTATATAAAGTTTAACTGAATTTTGAATGTTTGACTTTCTCTCTCATCTATCTCCTCTCATGTTCTTGAAGAATATCCAGATCTGCCATGAAGTTTTGAAGTATTATTGAAGATTGATCTTAATGTTACCTAACAATTAGTATCAGAGCTTGAAATGCAAAGAAATCAATAGAAGAAATCAGAAGTTTGAAGAACTATTTTGAATTTTTTTTTTCTGATTTGTTTGTGATCTTCGTGTTCATCTTTTCCTTTTCAGTTTGATCCAATTTTTTTTTTAATTTTTGTGTTTTCGTGTTAAAAACAGGATCAAAATGTGCGGAATCATGTTGTGAATCTTTGTTATAACAAAGATTTGTGTATTGATCTTTGTTTTTCGAGTTTTTGGTAGATTCTGTGTTTTAAAAGTTTATCATGTTCTTGATTTTTTTTTCAAAAAACCAGTGTTTTTTGATCCATTTTTTTTGTTAATACTTTGTTGTTTTAGTGTGTGTGAATTTTTTATCCTAAATCTATCCCATATTAGAGCCCATGCGTTTTAGCCCATTTGATTTACATATCTTTGACCATACTTGGTCAAAATCATCTTCATCGCCTTTGAATAGTTCATCTGGTTCTTCATCGCCATCATTTCAAGTATTCATCAGGTTAGGCGATTTGGTGTAAATCGTTCAAAGGCTTAACGATTTACAGCTTAATCGCTCATGTCTTCTCCGATTTAAGACTTAATCGATCAACAGATTTCCAAATCGATCAAAGGCTTCCATCGATGTCTACTTAAAATCGGATAGCAGTTGTTCTTAAATCGCTCACTCAATCGGATTCTAAATCGCTCAACTCATCGTTCATCTTGTCCGATTTCACTTAAACCGCTCACTACCTTGTCCGGATTCAAGGTAAATCGATCACTGGTTCACGGGATAGACTTGTTCGATTTCACTATTTTGACCTAACTTGTCTAAATCGCTCATTTTTCTTGACCGATTTAAGTTTATCGCTCAATAGGTCATTCGATATTCACCTATATCACACAACAATTCTGTCCGAATTTGATTCCTTGACTGAAGACTTAACCAATTTTTTTTCAAGCTTATTCGATTTTGGGTATTATCACTCATAGGCTCCTTGGCCATAGCTGGAGCAATTCCGAGAGTTCTTG